TCCGGTCGCTGCTCAATGTTGCGCAGACCCAGCCGATCCAGGGTCGCACGCTTTCTGGTCGTCAGCATGGATGCAGCATGGAGTCGTGGAATGATCACTCGGGCCTATCGGGTCTTGACGTCGTTTATTCAGCTTCTCGCTTGGGTGTTTCAGAGACGCAAAACAGAGATATGTCCATTGGTAGCTCACTGCCGCTTTTGGCACTCTTCGTCAGCTTGTGCCCAATGGCACGCGACATGGACTCAGCACATTTGATGGTCAGACGAATCAGTCCCCGTAGGAACAATACTCATCGACGACAATATTTGTCTTCAGACGGCCATGGCAAGAGTCATCGTGTGTTGGCAGTTCAATGAAGCGGATCCGGTTGCGTGTCTTGCGGCTGTGCGATGATGTTGGGCACGAAAGCGAGTTTCCAAAGACGAGTCGAGCCGTCGTGATCTATCGGAAGCGCATGTTGTGGTTTTGTAACTTCGCATCTTGTACGTAAACTGTACGGATTGGACTAACGCTACTAATATTGGGGCATTTTGGTGTTTCGTCCAACATGGGGGAGCGTCTCATTATTCATCGTCTGTACGTGTGGCGACGAAGAGGACGTCTGGTCACACCAACGATCGTCTGCCGACCGCATAGACCAGACACATTACACATAACACCTTCGTGTGAATACGACTCGGGTTCTGTTCTGGTCGGTTTGTTTCCATCAGTCCGTTTGCCTCTTCGTCGTATTCATATTGGTCGCCCGTGCCGCTCCGTGCCCCCATAAGCGCTAGGAAACTCGCCCGTCAAAGATTGGAAATTCAAAGCTATGAGACTGCCTTGTCTCTGCCTCGTCCAGAGCCCACGAGTCAATTGCCTTCTACCTATCACCGAGCTCATTACGAGTAGCCTTGCTGCCTGCTATTGCAATATCCACTCGAGCGGGCGGCTTGCATACCGCAATCAACAACCTCGCCGGCTGGCCGAAATGCGAAATAGGGTGCGCATACGCAGGACATTCCTGCACCGCTCCCGGCGCTAAAACACGGACTAAGAAGCGTCGTTGATGCCCAACGTCAGAACCAACACGCCCCCTTTTTTCCATAATGTGACCACAGGAGTTAGGACAAATGGAGACGAGAAGAGCATGTGCTTGACACGCGACGCGAGATCTGATACTGTGCTACGACAACTACTCATTTGATCTCTCATCATCTCATTACCGCCGAGGCTCAATTTGTGCCTGAAGCTAAGGTAACCCTCATTCCTAGCTCGGACCATTCAATCGGATTGAGGTACCTACAGTAAGATTAGACCTCTCGCCGGACTTCCACAGATTGCCGTTGATAGTCACGTCGCTTGTTCGGACGATATGGCATGTTGTCTTCGCACGACTCTCCGTAGATCATTGGTATCCTATGCCGACATGCCGCTCTAACAGGAGAGCAAACTGCCGGCCTTTACAAGAACGCCACAGAGGTGCCCAAGTGGCCAATCCCATATCCGGTTCTCCATACACCGACGCGAAGGTGTCAGGCGGCACACCTTGGCCCGGGGATGCTTGCTCGCTCGCAGAAATATTCCTCCCTGAGGGGTCCATATGAACTGCTTCCACCGAGATATAACGGCGGGACACCGACCCAAGTGAGAGACGACGTCACAAATTGACCGCCTGACGGGCACATCCGAAATGCCTGGTTCAGACTCCCTCTGAAAGGGCCATCGCTGGCAATTCTGACCGGGTTGACCTTGCCATTGAGAGCCTATTGGAATTTGCTCTCCCACGCGATGATACTATATCATGCAAGGAAACCCCTAGAGTGTCATTCTCTGTCACGACCGACTCGGACTTGTAGTGTTTGTGCCACGCCCTTTTATATCTAACAATCGAACGATTTTTGAGGCCATGATAGAGACCCGCTGCCGTGAAGATGCGGATGTTCTAAGAAAACCTCTGCAGAAACACTTGACGGTAAGTTCTCGGTATGCGGAGGGTTTTATTTTCCTTAATATCAGCTCAGGGTCTCTGGACCACTCGGCGGGGAAGTCTTACGATGCCTACGATGCTTTGCATGAATGATGCTGGTGAGATCTTCGCCGCCAGTCTTTCCATCTCTACTGCTCGTTGAGACCGTTGACCAATTGCTGCAGGCTACGATATCAAACACGTCAGATAGGAAAAGTTACCATATGAGGTATATTGAGTAGTATCGTGTTGGATTGAAAGCATGATGCATCATCGGCCAACATATAAATGCAAATTGCCTTATGGATGCCTTGTACTGTCCCCTCATCAGTATTCATTAACGACACGTGTCTTCGTCTCAAGCCTCACGAAGTGCTCGACGATGATGTCTCTTGCGTATAACTCTATGATCAGGCCTGATCTTCGCCACTCGCCCGCAGCATGTAAGTGCATTCAACTACACGCCTGCATGAGGGAATCCGCTCAACCATCTACCGAGTTCGACACCTAGCTGCGCAGGCTGGTCATACATGATCAAGTGACCGGCCTTCTCGATTGTCACGACCTCCTTTGCTCTAAGTGCATCTCCGAGCCTCCAGGCAGATTCCGCTGCTATCCATTTATCATCCGAGCCCCAAATAATCTTCACAGGCAGATTGGGACCCACGGTTTTATATCTCGATTCAACCTCGTCAGTACTTCTCGAATCCGCCTGACACAATTGTCTGATGAAACCTTGCTTGCCGCCCTTCTTCAGCCACGGGGCCTTCAGCATCTGCATAGTCTCCTTGGAGAGCTCTTGATATGCTGCTCCGCGAATATAGCTCTCCAGGATACCTTCAAATGCCATATCGGGCAGCTGCTCAAAGTGTCGCGGATTCTCGGCCACGACCTCGAACAAATCTTGTCCAAACGGTCCAATTGCGACGACATCAATGAGACAAAGACTAGCATAATCACAGCCGTGAAGCAGGTATGCCCGCAAGCTCTGCAATCCGCCGTGGTCATGCGCGATGACATGGGCCTTCTGATTTCCCCAGTCTGCTTGCCATGACTGGAACAGCGCGGCGTATGCCTCGGATTGCCTGGCTAGGTCGGCGTCGAGCTCTGCTACCTTCGATGATGCCTTGAATGGTCTGTCCGGTAACTCCTGCTCTAGAGGCGACTCCCCGAACCCGGGGTTGTCGAAGAGGTAGACGTGGAATTGCCGTGATAGAGCGAGAGCGTAGGGTACCCAGACACGGGATGACCAGGGCGTTCCGTGGACGAAGACTACAGGCGGTGATTTTGGATTGCCTAGCGAACACCATTTTATGCTGTAACTGTGAGTTTCGTTGCTAAATTCGAAAGTTTGGTCCAGAGACACATTGTCTTCTTTTGATTCAATGCCCATGATTGCCGTCTTGGTGTTGCGGAGGGATCTTGACACAAACAAGTAACTACCTAGGTAGGGATTTGGTTCCGGATATCAACTGATTGCGAAAAGATATGAAAAGGTGATGGAAATAGCTCTTACTCTCCAAATGAACAATGCTTGAACGCAATCACATATTATAGAACGTACGCTTTCATGGTCAAACATCTTCATTATACCTGTGTGTGGTGATATCAGCAGTGACGTAAACTAGATGTTGTGCTCTGCTGTTGTTGCGCCCTTGTCGTGACAAAAGGGAATGGATGTCGGCTTGTCCCAAATAGGAAATCGAGCTTCACCTCCACGTTCGGAGACTATTTGCCACACTTAGGTTATTATACAACTCTATCTTCTCTAGATCATGGATAAGATGGAGAGTAAAGAATTCGGTGAAACTTATCATGACATAAATTTCGAGAACTATCTGCAGTTGAAACCTGGAACTTAGCTAAGGTTGCTTCCGAGGACATGTAGCAGGTGACTGAGTACTGTAAGCTCAGGGGTTGTCACACAACGATAGCTCTGTCTGGATAAGTTATATGACTCGATAGCATTTGTGGTCATAGACGGTGATGACGACTGGCGGCGAAAGCCAGAGTATTCGATGTAAAGAGACACCTGACCTATAGGACATCGAAGATGAAGCTTTGTCGCTCCAATTCCCAAGGATCTCTGCATGCAAACGCTGAAGGCGGTGATTGAGTCTAATAGCTCTCTTATTCCATTAGAGAGTGCAATAAAGACAGGGCAAAAACTGGCCCAAATTGCTGCGGATGTCTAAACATCGAGGAAGAATTAGTGAAGTCCAGAGGTAAAAAGTCGTCATCTGAATTTGCGAATGAAGTCTCGGAAAGACTTTGGATGAAGTCTCAAGTAGGATAGGGGATCTGAAAGGTCCTAGTGGCAACCCTAATTCTTAGAAATAAGCGGCGAGAGATAAATCGAATGCCCCTGTTGTGTTCCTGTTAATTAGCTAGACCTCCAAGTTTGTCTTATTAGAAGTTATTCTGAGAATATGACATTCGGATTGCAGAACAAAGTAATACATGAGCGGGAGATAGTTCGCTTCTAGGGAATCTCACATAGCTCCCGACTACTGGCAACTACTAGGTATGCAATATGTTTGATCTTGGAAGTCCAAGAGGAATATCCGTGCATTATTTCCTGCTAGACGACATCTCAGAAAGCGCTCCTTACCAATAAGCCATACTGACTTGCTTCGCTAGTCTCATCTTGCTAGATACCATGCAATGTCATTGTAGCGCACACCCCATTTCGAGCAAGCTCTCGCTATACCAAAACCCGTTGGCCAATACGTCAATTACTTCTGACTGATGACGAATAAGGAATGATAATGATACCAACGAAAAAGAAATACCGTCATACCCAAGGAGTATGTTGCCGGACTTGACAAGCCTGGATCACCCAAAGAGCTGACCTTATAAACTGTGAGCCTCGCAGAGCTGAGAAGACATATAGAATCAATTGGTGCTCTTGTCGAAGACTCCGCCAGCAAGAAGGAAGAGGGTCCAGCTTTAGGAAGAGATAAACAGCAAGGTTGTCGCAGGCAATAGCACTGGAAATGATCAGCGTAGGCAAGAAAATGTTCATCAACAGAAACAACTTCAAAAAGAGAACCTCTCGATCGGGGAATCGAACCCCGGCCACCTGCGCACTCGCAAGAGTCGATGACAAGCAGGTATCCTAACCACTAGACCAATCAAGATGTGTGAGCTGTATGAAGAAAAATGTTATCTAGGTGGGAATATATCGGGCTGCGCCATTTTTGGTCCGAAGTCGAAATTTTATGTTCCACACGGAGAGGGGCTCTAGTTCGGCGCCGGATGGTGATGAAAGGAAACACCGCTAGTGTGAGATAGCTCGACGGGAGAGAAGGGCGCAGAACTGAACGTCCAGCAATGCCGGAAGGGACAAGGCTGGATGCTAGACGTGCAGTAACGGGGCGGGAAATTGATTTCGATAAACGACTGGCTGGTGTTCTGTCATTGTGAAAGATAGGGACTCCCCGATTCGCTTCTCGCAATAACACGGGCGTTGACTAAATGGAGACTTGTCAACGTATCAAATAACTCACAATGAAGCTGGATAGATGTCAGTCCCTGTTTCGCCACATTGCTGTCCTTCGTATGATGACTCTTTATGGGAGGAGAAAGAGGGGGAGCCAGCTTGTCCCTACTTGATGGAATATTGCCCTCGTCTTCGTTGCATCATCAGAGTAGCTGGCGACACCGGGTGGAATAAAAGGATTTACTACCACTTGGAATCACTACGCCACCTAAACAGTGAGTTGGGGAGGGATTGTGAAAAAGCGTGAAATGCGACCTATGTAGGAAAATAATTCCTGATATTTTGATAAATCCCATATACATAAGGTATCGTACCGAGACATGTTTCTTTCGCAGCAAGGCCGTGCCAGGGATCGATCTACCTTCTTTATCGTGCCGTGCTTGGCTCGATGCCTAGCTCATCTACCTTACCCGTTGGTCGTAATACTCGATGGGAAGTCTCTAAGACGAGGTTTGCCCGAATAATGTGAGACGTGGGAAAGGAAGCCTCAGCTCGACCGGTGCAGGGCGGCCGGGCGAGTACGTCAGGGCTGCAACCGCCGGCGGTGCTGCAACCACACTCGTTCGCAACCCCTCCTTTGGTGTCATGTGACGCCGATAGGGAAGCAACACAACACCTACCTTCTTCGGCTGAGCACCCGTTTGGTCGCCCTCATCTTCTTATGCCAGACGGATCGATCTCTTATCTTTCTTCTGTATCTCGTCCGTACATACTGTAGATCCTCATTCAATTGTACCCAGGACCACCTCATCGTCCATATATACTCGCTCATCCTTTGTAAAACTCGCAGTGCAGTGCATCAGTTCATCACTAGTATCCTTCATTTATTATAAGACACTTGTAATCATGGGCGCAAACAACTCCAAGGAGCCAACTCTCCCAACTCAGCACGAGAGAGCCGTTGTCGAGCGTCTCCGCGCTCTGAAGTTCGACGCCGGTGATGACTTCGTTGACCTAGATGAGAAGACGGACTACGGTGGCCATCTGGACCGGGCACCCGATAGGCTCAGCACTGAGCTAATGAGGAGCTGGCAGTCAAGATTACTAGATGACCCGAAGAACAGGTGAACTGAATACGAGGCAATGTCTAGAAGAACCTCTACTGATACACAGCTTGATATAGGCTGGCTCTCACAGCATTAAGCACTGCAAACCCAAAGACGGTGCTAACTTCACGATCGATCAAGATCGCCGACCAGCATGTTTTCAACGTCCGCATCCCATTTGAAGGAGCGCCAATCACCAATCAGCGCTCGTCCGGACGTTGCTGGCTCTTCGCCGCTACGAACGTGTTTCGCGTGGCGATCATGCAGAAATACAACATCGGCTCATTCGAGCTGTCACAAGCCTACCTGTTCTTCTGGGACAAGCTCGAGAAGTCGAACTACTTCCTCGAGAACATCATAGACACAGCCGGCGAAGACCTCGACGGCCGCCTTGTCCAGCGTCTCCTCGCCGAACCAGTGAGTGACGGCGGACAATGGGACATGGTGTATAACCTGGTTGAGAAATACGGTCTTGTGCCGCAGGCTCTCTACCCGGATAGCTTCAATGCCATGAACAGCAGCACTATCAACTATATCGTCGTGGGAAAGCTGCGCGAGTATGCACTCATCTTGCGCAAGATGCTGCGAAGCAAAGCTACAACAGCAGCCACTATTGAAGCTACGAAGGAGAAGATGATGCGAGAGATTCACACCATCCTTACTCTAACCCTCGGACCACCGCCTGGCAACAATCAGACTTTCTCTTGGGAGTACACCGACAAGGACGGCAAGGCGAAGACTGTTCGAAAGACACCATTAGAATTCGCAAAGGATATCTCATCCACTATACCGAGCGGCTACCGCATCTCCAACGAAGCCATCGAGTCTATGGTGTCGCTCGTCCACGACCCACGGCATGAGCCACTGTCTCTGATGACGGTCGACCGACTAGGGAATATCGTAGGAGGCCGTGGCATTACCTACATAAACGTAGAGATGAAAGTGCTCAAACAAGCTTGCGTCGCCACGCTCAAGGCCGGGCTCCCCGTATTCTTCGGCTCCGATGTGGGCAAATTCAGCGATAGGGAAGCTGGCATCATGGACCTGGGGCTCGTCGACTACAGCCTCGGCTTCAACGTCGATATGTACAGCGCCAAAGCCATGAACAAAGCGGGCCGCCTGCGTGTTGGCGAGTCTGCCATGACGCATGCCATGGTGCTTACTGCCGTGCACTGTGATGAGAAGAGCGGTGCTTGTGTGCGCTGGCGTGTGCAGAATTCCTGGGGTGAGGCGTCGGGTGTCGGTGGGTGGTTTGTCATGAGTGATGATTGGATGGATCAGTTTGTGTACCAGGCTGTTATCGATCCGAGGTTCTTGAGTAAGGACGTCAAGGATGTGCTTAAGAAGACGCCTATTCTTTTGCCGCTCTGGGATCCTATGGGTTCTTTGGCTTGAGCGGTTTTGTTGTGTGGAATTGTTATGGGGCATTATTATGGTTTGCGAAGCAGAGATTACAGATTGTATGAATACGGCATATGGTTATTTTACTGTCATGAGACTTTATGATTAATGAATTGATATGTTTAGCATTATTACTTGAGGCGATTTACTCTTGGTATGGGGGTGTCGCAGGTTGGACTTGAATAGTGCTGTCATGAAATGACTTCGCTGAGAATGATGAGTTTACTTTGCAAGGTACAATGCAAACAGTACGAGTGGCCCATGAACCTCACGGGATTAAGCTCAATGACATCACTCAGTTCTAGGACCGAGGACTTTTTTTCTGGTTAGGGAAGTCGTCTTGTTTTCAATTCAGCTTGAGGGGACAAGTCAAACAATTCATGGGGCAGCATCAGACATGGAGGGATCACGGTCAAGACGAGATTCAGTTACACCAAATTCATATTATCCAACGATTAACAAGACATTCTACTTGCTATGCGACAATGAGACCATCCCCGTTTACAAAAGCGATTCGGTCGAGACCCGTCAAATGACAGAATTCAAAATCCTTATCCGCTTGAAGTTTAAAACATTGTAAATGTAATTATCTCAAGTCGTGTCATACATCGCAGAAAACGACAGAAAGAGTTATAGTGCACATGTTTACAGACGAGAGCCGTGGACGGTCTTGACGTCAACAACGAGCTCGTTGCCGTGGTCGGAGATGACGAGGACACGGACGCTGCCAGAGCCAGAGTTGAAGGCAGAGGACAGGCGAGAGTAGAGGCCGGACTGGTCGATGACCTGGAGGCCGGTCTTAACGTCGCCGGTCTCGGTCATGGCAGTGACGGCGCCGTCGTTGAGGTCGAGGACACGGTACTGCTTGAAGACAGGGCCGAGCATGGTCTGGACAACAACGCTGGGAGCGGGGTTGGAGACGAATGAGGACTCCTCGTGGAGCTGCTTGCTGAACAAGTCAACACCGAGGTAACGGTGCTGGCCGGTGGCAGAGGAAGTGGAGATGCGGATGACCTGGCAGGGGCGGCCCTGGAGCATCAGGATGTCACCCATGCGGACATGGTGGCAAGGGATGGTGACAGTGTTGGGGATGGCACCGGAACCGCCTGAAGAGCGAGGGGCGGGAGCGGAGTGCTCAATCACCTGGTGGCTGCTCTCGCCAGAGTGGGGGTGGAAGACGCGGTCAGCCATTTTGTGAAGACCGTGGCGGAAAGAGTGGTAGTGTCCTATGAGGATGAATTAGATGAATGTAGTCATGCATATAGAGGTAGTAAAGCTCACCGTCTTCGTCGTAATATCCCATTCTAGACTTTTGGTAAGCGGAAGAGTGGTTCTGGCGAGGATACTCTACGGTCTCCTCGATGGTCTTGCTCTCTTTGGTGAAAGAGATGGGCTTGGAGGGAGCGTCGATGGTCTCCTCGGTAACCTGGACCTTCTCGAAGTGAGGGCGGTGGACCGAAGGGGCGTCAACGGTAGTCTCGGTGACACGGATGTCGTCACGAAAGACTGAAGGCTGGACACGAGCACGGTACTCGCGTTCGATGCGGTCAATGGGAGTGTAGTGGGGCTTGTGGTGACGGTCTACCTCAACGGAAGACTCGGAGTAGGTGGATTGGGCGTATTGAGGGCGAGTGAACTGGTGCTGAGAAGCTTGGTACTGAGGTGCTTGTTGTTGAGGTGTCTGGTATTGAGTTTCTTGGAAGACGTTGATGTGTGTCGGTCTATGGGTGAGAAGGAAGTTATGGTTAGTCGAGGATCTTCAGCACGGTGTGGATTGTTTACATAGTCTCATCCAGGACTAGTTGCAATCAAAATGAAAATTTGGCGGTCAGGGGTCTAGTGATGGTCGAGCCGAGAGTTGGTTTGTGCTGCACTGTTGACAGTGCGAGACTTGCCATTTCAGTGACCAGTCACTCTCCAACATCTCGGATCGCTTGGATCTCTATTCCGGACCCGTAGCTCATCCGGTCTTCCCCGGTGCCGCCACGTTGGCCGGTCGTAGTCTCATCTGTCTGAAACTGACACATGGAACGCCAATTGAGCACCCGCATCAATTTCGCTGAGTCGCCAATCGCATTCGCGCCGAGCCAGTCGAGGTTTCGACGTGTTCGAATTTCAAAAACAGGACGATCAAGAAAAGTGCTAATTGCGCATCAAACTCACCTGTGTTCCTCGTAGTGCTCGTGGTGCT